GTGTGGAGTTCTGGTCTTTGTTTTTCACACTTGCACAGAACCTTCTCAGTTTGAAATCTCAAGAATTTTGCGAGTGTTCCATGAATCTTTAGACCATCCCACTTACACTGCGAGTGGGTGGAGAACAGGAGACCCAGGGAAGTGAAAGAGCCTCTTCTATGTCAGAGACAAGAATAAGGATGAAAAAAAAAAGTCCTTAACTTTGTTCTGCTTCATTTTTAATAATGTCATTTGTGAAGCATTTTAGCAACAATAAAATCAGAAAGAAAACAAAACCCTCCAATCATCCCTAAGTTTCAGAGAAGGTAGAAAAATGTAGATTTTGGTAAAGCTATTTTCAGGAAAGCATTTAAAAAGCACAATTATCTAACAAAGCAAAACTGATAATTATATAATTCCACAGAACTTGGCAGCAAGATGACTTTTGTTTCAAGGAATGGGTGGGACTCATTGGATGCCTTCGTGTCTGCAGATTTGGTGCCTCAGACTGCTAGAGATCTTTGGTGCAAAACAAGGTTAACATCAATCAAAGGCCTTGCAGGAACAGACACTATTTATCTTCATCTTTGGGAAAACAGACATTGAAAAGTACAAATGGAAATTACTGGTAATGAGAAAGTCAAGATATGGTTGAAAGAATGCTATCTCTGAAAAACGAAAGCAAATGACATATAATCAGGGACAGAAGACTTGACTCTCAGAAAGATGGCACCTCCTACACCTTGAACTTTAAGAAGGGCTCCAGCAGGTCTTTGGAAGAGGTGTTGAGACAGGAGGATGTGATGGAGAAATGATGAGCACATCAGGGAAACTGAGGCTGCAGGCGTGAAGGAGATGTTCTGTGAGAAACATCAGAAAAGACAAAAGAGCGGCAGAAGGCAGAGCTCAAAGGACAGCATTTATTATCCACCCCCTGCCCCCACCGGCCAGTTGTCCAAGCTCCTCCAGCACCAGCAACATCCTAGTCGACCAGATGACTAAAGACTTTGGCCCCTTTGCTCAGTCAAAATTTTCATCCCAGGCTCTGCTCTCTATGACTTGACAACTGAAGCTAATGGTCCAACCAAACTTCTTCCTTAAGATATTGATGTCTTTGTTCTGTGTGCTCAGCTGCATCTGACTCTTTGCAACCCTTTTGACTGTAGCCCACTTGGCTCCTCCATCTATGGGATTTTCCAGGCAAGAATACTGCAGTGGATTGCCATTTCTTCCTCCAGGGGATCTTCCCAGCCCAGGAATCAAACCCATGTTTGTTGAACTCGCAGGTGGATTCTTTACCACTAGCGCCACCTGGGTTACCTCTTCTTCAAGAGTTGCTCACAAAAACTGATGCCTTAATCTGGTCCTGTGGGCTAACTTGTATCAGTTCAGTTCAGTTCAGTCACTCAGTCCTGTCCCACTCTTTGTGACCCCATGAACCGCAGCACGCCAGGCCCCCCTGTCCATCACCAACTCCCAGAGT